AATGAGCAAGCCGTGACCATTAAAGGCATTCATTCAATCTTTAAACTCCTGCTGCCTTACAGGCTGCTGTCAGCATAACGCAGTCAGAACGCGCCTTAATTTGGGTCACTTAGAGGCATCTTTTTGTTTTCTTTCACACACAGTTCATTAGACTCTCAAGTTCAGCCCAGGAGAAATCCTTTAGGGTGTTTCACCTCGCTTTCATTCCTCACCTGCCTCAGTGTGATGATATTAGAGTTTTACTGCCTCCTGGATCTGCTGCTTTGACTAAATTTCGTGCTTTTTCATCTCAGCAATTCGGCTTCATTCAAAGTCTTTTTGCTTTTGCCGTGATGGAGAGAATGCCTGGCGAAAAAAAGACTTTTCCTTTTTTAGTATATGATCCGATGAATAGCATTGTTTTATATTAAGTGCAATGTTTTAATGCAGCAAACAATTTAATTCAATCCAGTTTATTTCTATAGCGCAAATTCACATCATGTCATCTCAAGGCAATTTCCAGTTCAACCAGATCATCCAGTTAAATTGATTAAAAGTTTTCTATCTAAGGAAAACCAGCTGATTGAATCGACTCATTGACTCATCAGCATTATTTGCATTATTCATTATCTTACTGATTTATGCTAAATTCATTAAATCACCACAAATGTATTAGAGTTATGTATAAATTATGATCCATTAATTATTCCTTGCTGACCGGACTTTTATTTTAAGTAGTAATGGTATAAACTAGTGAAGCGAGGAACTACCATTTAATCCCAGCCCTCCTTCCTTCTGAAGCCATTTTTTTTTCCCAGAAGAATTTCATCAACCCAGAGAAAATAAATAGTCCTATATGCACACAGCAAAGGTTTAATCTTAAAATAACTTCATTAGTTTTAAAGAACAAATAGCTTTTTATAATCCAAGGTTAACTCACTGGGACTAACTGCCAAGGAGTAAAATAAAAAACTGAATAAACATCGCTTAGCAACAACCCGTTAGAGAGCGTCATTCTTAATGTTCCTTCAGATGTAAAAAGCTGATAAATGATCCTTATGTCAATGTAAAGAGCAGACATTTAAGGAGACGGTGCTCCGCTAAACACATTGAAACATCCTTTTTATAGCTCTGCTTAAAGCTGGAAGCTACTCGCCCTAAACTCTACCTCTAAATTATGCATCAAGTCTAAAACGGGTATAAATTAACAGCGTCCGCTGCTGAAACCCGACATATTCTACTGAATGCCTGAACTGCAGCGGTAAAGCGTGAGGAGTTTGAGGCTGTGCTTGTTAGCCGCAGCCTGCCTCGGCCCACAGGACGGCTTATTAGGAGCTAATCGTGGCTGAAGAAGCTATCGATCTATCTGACCACTTATAGGCGCGTAGAGCTGCTGCAGGGTGGACAGCGGAACGCTGAAAAACACAAGGCTTGACTCTTAAATACCAGAGGTAAATGAAAGGAACGTTTTTATCGATCGGCGGCGTTTAGCCCTTTCATTTCATCAAGGTTTTTTATTTTTATAAAGCCAGCTCATTTCTGAGCGACAGTGAACGGTTTTCTGCTCCTACTGACAAAGGCAAGTTCATTTATATAGAGCATTTCAGCAGAAAGGCGATTCGAAGGGCTGTGCATGAAAAAGAGGAAGAGAGGTAGGAAAAATTATTGAGGGAATAAAATGATTAAATAAAGATGATGATATAAAAATAAAATATAAAAGGAAGTTGGACTGAAAACTTAACTTATGTGTAGAAAGTCTAAGGCCATTCTAAACAAGAATTTGTTCCCGTTTTAAAGCAGTTTATCGTTTCAGCATTTTTAAATCTCTCTGGGATTTTATTCCAGATTAGTGAAGCATAATTCTGGAGCCTAAAGGTCTGGTTATCGTCCAGCAGCAGCGTGTCGCAGATATTTTTAATTTCTGCTCAATATTGAAGCGTCTAGATACGGCCGAGGCGGCGAGGAAGTGGGGGCAAGTTTGTACGACTACGGAGGAACATGAGGGCCAAAAAGAGCGGGGATCTAGATGGAAAAAGGGTTCCAGCGTTCTCACGCACCTCGCTCTTCTAGCTGCTCCATCTTGACGAGTCGTTTTCCACAATGGCGGTCAGACAAACAAAACAAGCCGGTAAGGATCCAAACAGGAAATACAAATATCATATGATTTGGCCCATAAATATCCCTACGATCAACAGATTCTGGAAAACTCCTAGAAGAAAATAGCTTTTAGTTTTTT